AATATGGTAGTCAGACCACTGCTGTGTACGATTGGGACTCTCCACAAGACAATATTGAGTATCTGCTAAATTTAATTGAGCTTAGATAAACATAATATTAAAAATGCACCCACTGAAAGATCAATATTTTGCTTAATTCTATCCAATATTTGCCTATACCTTTATTACAATTGCTATGAATCCCAATAGAATTATCGTGTATTAATCATCACACAAATGTAATAAGTAAAATTATCGACGCTGTTATTACTGTAACGCGGACATTAATTGTATTGACTAAACGTCATATATTTGATTATCAAGAGGCAACATCCCTGAGGTATGGATAGAAACGATCGAATCCAATTACACCTCGAAGACATTTTTTCTAAGATCCAATATTTGATTAATGCTTACTGTGTTTATGTCATTTGAATTTATTTTCCAGTTGTATAATTTGTCTGACATTGAATGATATCTTGCTTGTTTACGAAAATCATCAATGATGATTTGTGCTGTCTTGCTACCTTCCTTTTCGGTTTGTACTTGGAGTTATCTCCCTTTTTTACCACTCTTTTGTTATATAGTTGCACCATGCATGCTTCTTGACACTCAAAACATCTTATGGCTACTATAGTGTAAGTTTATTGTATCATTCCTATCTGATATCAGTTTATACTCAAATATTTGATTCCAGTTTAATTCAATTTATTAGTAATACATTGTAATGTGATAATTAATACCTAGATTTAAAAATAGTGTAATTCCAAATAGTGGATTTAGTTTACCAATTTAGATTAGGTTGACATAGATGCTAATTTTATTTGCCCCCGTATACGGTAACGGGGTTACATAGTATATTTATATGCATGTATATGAAACCACTCCAAGTTAATAGATGTGATTAGTGTGATTAGTATAAAATGTTAAATTCCAAGCTGCACATTTTATATTTACTCATAAATTTTTGACACATTGTTTTATTCTGTATTTTGCAGTTTTTCACCCTCTCTTGAGGTCTGTGATTATTTACAATACCAAAAGTAAATAAAGTTGATTCCATCACAGTGAAAAAACGATAATCCCTTATCCAAGATGTCTTAATCAAGGCCTCGTGCCAAATCCACTAAGGAAAATGACCTTCATGAAGCTTTTGTCGAGGGACATCAAAGGCGTATCCTTCATAGACGCAAAGCCTTAGATGCAATATTTCAACAATCATATGATCTCTCAAATGTATCACCAAGTGAACTTGAACTCTACCACAAAAAACTGAGGCTAAATATGAAAGCTATCGGAACGCTACATCTGAATTCATGAGTTATCTCTCTCGCAATCGTTCACCAGAAAGTGACAATGAACTTTCATCTCAGAGATTAATATTCAGTAGTGTTCATGACAAGTATATGATGTTAAAATGATCATTAGTGCTCAACACGCCCCTATTCCAGAGGGATTTGCTTCCGAGCCAGATAATCAGTCCTCTAATATGTTAGAAGCACATCAGATGTTGAAATGTAGCTCAACTCACGGATCGGGGTCAACACGATCAAACACATTGTATATTGAACAGAAAGCGGATATGGAGGCTGCAAGGGTCAGGTTAAAATCACCACAGGCAGAGGCAAATCTGATAAGACGACAGGCCGCCCTTCAGGTTGACAGATCTTTGCTTACAGCCCAACGCGAGTTTGATGAGGCACAAACCAGGCACAGAATTCTGTTTGGGGAAATGGAGATTAGTAAAGGTAACATATGTGATGAAGGGTTGAGAAGTGAAATCTCTATTAGAACCAGTAAGTATGTGGAAGATCAAAACCAATTAATTTAGAATGAAAGGTCCTCCCTCCTACATGTACCTCCATCAACAATGAGAGATGTTTCCCCTGTTATCACACAGAATACTCCTCCAACAATTACCCCCGCTTACCCGATGTCACACGTCCGCAGCTGTCATCTGTACATGTGACACCTATGCCTGCGAATCAAACTACAAACTACTTGCTATCAAACCTAAAACAACTTATACCAAGAACAAGCTGATTTATGGTCTCCTATGGTTGATATATGGATGCCTCAAGTCGACAACAAACCAGGTTGTCAATATAACTACCTCACTAACTTGTCATCTGACAATTACAGGAACACTTGTGAATCACCTACACATATTTTGGAGAACAAAAGTCCTACAAATGACCTCAATATGAACCCTATGGACAAGTGCAAGGGGGAAGCAGATTTCATCAATGACATCCCTTAATCAGTACCTTCTGTTAGCAGTACTCAGTTCCATGTATTGAGGCCTGAAATAGGGTCAGAAGATTGTAGTGAATCTGTTTTAACGTGTAATCCTATTTCTGAGACACAGAAACTCAGTAAACCTGCAGTGACTGATGAATTTAACATGTTCAGCAAGTATTTATTGAAAAAGAACCTCTTGGTGTCCCGTCTCGCTAAGTTCAACGATGACCCAGAATACTACTCGGTATGGTGGTCCAGCTTCAAGAGTGTTGTCAAAGATCTAGGAGTTTCTTCTGAGGAAGAATTGGATGTCCTGTTAAAGTGCATTCGTCAAGCAAGCGGTCAGTACCAGAGCAGCCTACCCCCATGCTCCAGACATTGGTGTATATCGTATATGGGAAAACTTGACGACCAATTCGATAGCTCTGAAGTTATAGAAGAACGACTAAAGGCCAAGGTCTCAGCCTTTCCCAAATTATCTAACAGGGACACAAAGCAGCTGTTTGAACTTTTGGATTTAGCTAGCGAGATACAAGCTCGCAAGAGTGATAAGAAATATTCAATGCTTCTGTCGTACTGTGACTCGGCATCAAGAGTTTGTCAATTGGCAGAAAAGTTGCCAAGCAGTCTTCAGGATAGATGGGCTTCAGAGGGAATCAAGTATAAACATCAACACTTTGTGACCTTCCCGCCTTTCGCTGTTTTCCTGGATTTTCTCAGCTATCATGCCAAGGCTAGAAATGATCCTGGTTTCAAGATCTCAGTATCATCGTCGAATGGAAAAACCTTAGGGAAACCTCAGAATCGTAGAGGGAATATTCAGAGAAACATAGTTTCTGTACGCAAGTGTTCAGAAACATGTCTTTAAAAACTGCAAAGCCGCAGTGAAATGTGATATATGCAAGAATGGTAAGCAAACATCTGCACTACACGTGGATGCTAACATTAAGCCGTCCGTATCAAATCACGGAGGGGAAAGTCCATCATGCGAAGTAGTGAACTTCAATTGCATGCAAGTTTGTGGAAGTTTCAAGGGAACAAGCAAGTCGTGCGCTGATAGTGCTTGTGAATATTTATCCAGAAGGAAAACGTGAACTAGCTCTTCGTGCATATGCAGTAGTCGATGACCAAAGTAACCGGAGCTTGGCCAAGTCGACATTCTTCGATCACTTTGGACAACAGTATGAAAATATGAATTACACCCTTTCCTCCTGCTCAGGCAGTGTTTCGATTTTTGGCCGCAAGGCTTCTGGTTATGTAGTGGAGTCGCTTGATGGTAACACAACGCTCACCCTTCCTACACTCATTGAGTACGACGACATCCCGGACTCGCGCAATGAAATTCCCACCTCGGAAGCTGCATATCATCACCTTCATCTTCAAGATATTGCTGACAGAATTCCGGACATAGATCCACAAGCTGACATTATTCTTCTCTTGGGACGAGATATCTCATCAGCACACCATTTGGAAGACCAACGCATTTGGCCTCACAATGGACCCTACGCCCAGAAGCTTCCTCCTGGATGGGTTGTCATAGGCGAAGTTCGTTTAGGCAGTGTACACATGACACCTTATGTGACTGTAAACAAGACATTCATTATGAAAAATGGTCGCCCTTCTCTACTTGAACCATGCCCGAACTACTTTGAATTTGAACGTGATGAGCCAAAGTCATCTTTTCCATTATTCCCCAGGACGTCCCAAGATGACTAACCAGGCATGTCTTCGGATGACAAAGAGTTTCTTCGTGTGATGAATCAAGGTCTCTACAGGAACGCCGATGGCAAGTGGACAGCTCTCCCTTCCATTTAAGTTAGAGAGAACGCCTCTTCCTGATAACCGTGAATTGGCATTCAAAAGAGCCAAGATATTAGACTTATGTTCCGAAAGGAACCAGTCAAGCTCTTACATATGATTGAATTTATGGGCAATATCTTGACCAACGGTCATGCCGAAATTGCATCGGAACAGGAAGTTGGAGCTGAAAGATGGTTTCTACCCTTTTTTGGAGTTTACCATCCCAAAAAGCCTGGGAAAATAAGAGGAGTCTTTGACTCTTCAGCAAAGTTCAAGGGTGTGTCCCTCAACAATGTCCTGATGACTGGCCCTGACCTGGTTAATAGTCTACTAGGCGTTCTCCCAATGTTTCGTCGACGTTCAGTGGCAATTACAGCGGACATACAACAAATGTTTCATTGTTTCAAGGGCACAACTAAACATCAAGATTATCTACGCTTTTTCTGGTATAAGGAAGTACAGGATGAAATGCCACGTGTTCGGAAACTCACCATCACCAGCCGTGGCAACTTTAGGCCTGAAGAAGGCTGTCGAGGAATCTGATTCTGACGTGAAAGAGTTTGTTACTAGAAATTTTTATGTCGATGATACGTTGACTTCTAAACCTAACAGTGCGATTGCAATCTCACTGATGAAGAGAACACAAGACTCTCAACGTAACAACGGGAACATTTGATTACACAAAATATCCTCCAACAAAAGAGAGGTTCTTGAAGCATTCCCTGTCAATGACCTTTCTGGGGATATTGGGGATCGAGATCTTCAAGACGACTCTGCACCCCTCAAAAGTCTGGGTCTTTATTGGAAACTGTCAAGAGACATTTTCACATTCAATTCAGATAGTACCAGGAGGCCTTACACGAAACGAGGTCTGCTTGCCATTATCAACAGCGTGTTCGATCCTATAGGTTTTACAGCACCGGTTGTGTTGCGAGGAAAACTATTATTCCAAAATTTGACCGAATCTGTTTTGGATTGGGATGAGCCTCTTCCTAAGAAAAAGGCAACGAGAATGGGACTTGTGGCAGAGCTCGCTCGCACAGCTTGATAAATTTCATGTATCAAGACAGTATTTCATAGACAGGTCCTGTGATCCGACTGATTGCGTTCACATATACACCGATGCCTCAAAGGAAGCCATTGCTGCCGTTGCGTACTTCTGTACTACCAACGAAGAGGGAGTAGCCAGTTTTTCCTTATTCTTGGGGAAGTCAAAGGTAGCACCCCGTCACGGACATACAATCCCTCGTTTTGGGCACCGAATTGGGACAAGTCATCTGTGAACAGTTAGATGTGGATCTGGTATAAGGAAAATGATATAGAAAAGCCACTCGCGGCGTACAAGAGGGGGTCAGTTTCAGCAGAAATGTTGGGCAGCCCTATTTACATGCCTTGTAACTAGGGCAGTTCATATAGAGATTATAGAGGACATGTCTTCTTCATGCTTTATAAACGCTCTCCGGAGGTTTAGTGCTATCCGTGGTCCGGTGAAAGTATTTCTCTCAGACAGAGGTACAAATTTTATAGGATACAGATTCATTGGGAATATCCGCAAACAACGTGGAAGACGAACAGATTTCCAAACATCTTCTCAACAATGGGACTGTTTGGCACTTCAATCCACCCCATACATCTGATATGGGTGGCAGTTGGGAGAGGATGATAGGTTCAGCCAGACGTATTCTTGATTCAGTGCTCCTGGATGTCAAAGGTAAAGGTCTCACTCGAGAGATCTTGACTACATTGATGGCAGAGGTCACCGCAATCATTAACTCTCGCCCTCTGGTTGAGGTGTCATCCGACCCACAGGATCCTCATGTTCTTTCTCCAGGAGAACTTCTCACCCAAAAACCACAGTCTGCTCAGTTAAGTCCGTTTACGCTGGACATCAAAGATGCTTACCGCAAGTGGAAGATGGTGCAATTCTTGACTGATCAGTTTTGGAAGAAGTGGAAAACAGATCACCTACAAGGACTTCAAGGAAGGCGTAAATGGGTAGCGTCGCATCCAAACTTGAAACAGGGTGACGTCGTCCTTCTAAAAAAATTCCGATGTACATCGTATGGAATGACCGATGGCCAAAGTCTCAAATCTATTCCCAGCAGAAGATGGTCTCGTTAGGAAGTTGGAAGTGCGAGTGGTAAAAGGTGATAGGACGGTGAAGTACATTAGGCCAGTGCATGAAGTTGTGCTTCTTGTCGCGTCCTAATTAAGGATCTTAGAACTCTCATGCTAGCATCATTAACATTACTTTGCTCAGTGACGCTAAATTTTGTAATTTATTCATAGTGTAGTGGTATACCGAGTAGGCATACCAGGAGGGGAGTGTGTTGTCTTGCTACCTTCCTTTTCAGTTTGTACTTAGAGTTATCTCCTTTTTTTACCAATTTTTTGTTATATAGTTGCACTGTGCATGCCTCTTGACACTAAAAACATCTTATGGCAACTATCGTGTAAGTTTATTGTATCATTCCTATCTGATATCAGTTTATACTCAAATATTTGATTCCAGTTTAATTCAATTTATTAGTAATACACTGTAATGTGCTAATTAATACCTAGATTTAAGAATAGATCTTCAGGTCAAATCCATTCGGTATGTCCGTCATACACTGCTCGTTTATTTTTTTATAACATGCTTGGAAAATTTAATCATAATTTCGTTTCTTTCAAAATAGTGTAATTCCAAATAGTGGATTTAGTTTAACAATTTAGATTAGGTTGACATAGATGCTAATTTTATTTGCATGTATATGAAACCACTCCAAGTTAATAGATGTGGTTAGTGTGATTAGTATAAAATGTTCAAGCTGCACATTTTATATTTACTCCTAAATTTTTGACACATTGTTTTATTCTGTATTTTGCAGTTTTTCACCCTCTCTTGAGGTCTGTGATTATTTACAATACCAAAAGCAAATAAAGTTGATTCCATCACATGATTTCTATCCTTAAAAAGAATGTTGCATGGGTTTATGCAGAAATCGCCATCTTGGGCCGTTTATAACGTGATATTCGACACTTACTTAGTTTACAAAGTGAAATTGCCTTACAACTATAGAGATGGCACAAAGGAAAATATCAGAGACATCACTGTTTGGTTACATCTTTTCAAACATAAAAACGATATTTGACTTTAAACCAACGATTCATTCACGTCAGCAAAAGAATTTATAAATGGCTCATCAATAAAAAAGATTAAACATGACAGAGACAGCATTATGAATTAAGAAGATATGTTAACGTAATAACACTGTTGAAATGAAAGATCAATGATCCAAAGAAGACCATTTGTGTTTGTCGACTATGAACTTATTGCTGTCAAGATCATCCTATCCTTTGTTTAAGCTATTAATAACATATAAAAACCGATTCAAATATGTCAAAGTAATGACATTATTTTGAAATAAAAATATAATACATAAAAGGATGATTACAGATTCTAATTTCATAACCGATTAAATTGAAGAAACATGATATACAGTTGTATATAATTCTACATAACTATTGAAAAAACATAAGTTTCTCTATATTATTTACATAATATTCTATCTATAATATTCTACGAGGGAGAATCTCAAAACAAAAAACAAAAAAACAAAATCATTCTATAATTATAAATACCCTTAATTTCCTCAGAAATAATGTCTTCATATGATCATATTTTCCATCATTAACTACAAAACCACGTCTATATTTTTAAGTATATGGCGTCATGATATCAAAATACGCCGAAAAATACCTTATAGTATCAAGCCATCCATTGAAATGATATCACATATATTCGAAGAATGAGAATGAGAATAGTAATTGAATATTTATGATACATGTGTATATAAGTTTATTCAACGCAATTCTTCCTAACATTAAATCGTCTTGTCACAAATAACTGATAGTGAATCGGACTATATGACTGACAAAGAATTACACAAGTTCGCAAAATCTATAATGTTCTTATTTTAGAATTAGTAACCATGTCCTCGGGGTTTGTCGACATTCAAAATATGATCTGGGTATACCTAGCTCTAAAGTATAAAGTTTGACTTAACCTGTATACTACATTTTTATTCTTTATATATTTTGGGACTATTCAGAATGCATAGTTTTCCATAATTGGCAAGTTATCCAAATAATTCATAAATGTAATATTTTGGCGCGTATGTCACTAGTATAATGTAGATTTTTTTCATTGACTGGCATTCAGATATCGATTGTGATTATATGATATGCACAATGGCGTGCATAAATCTCAAATGATGGTTGCTTCCATTTGCTTTTTCCTCCAAACTTTCATTAACCACATTAAGATTTATCTTCATGTGATAAATAGTATCTTAAATTTGTTTCATTTCATGTGAGATTTTATGAAATTCGTCGAGGCTCACAAAAATAAAAACTTCTAAAATCGATTTCATACTATCTCATATGAAATGAAAACTCATTCAACATGCTATATGTACTTGATATTGCTTACAAATCATTCAATATGAAATGTAGATTTACCATAATTTTTTATCATCCTTACTTTGGGGTACTTGAATTTTTCTCACCTGGATTTCGACATCCATTTCGATCAATTAGGATTACCCGCATTCGTCCTCGTGGTGTCAGCTATTTGGACCATTTGTATCACTGATACCATGCATTTCACCCTCGATATGGTTATTCAATAGCATTTAGAATACAGTTAGACTCTGGTGAAAAATAAATAAGATAGATATACATTAAGTAAGTTGAAGCGACAAAAGATCCGGAGTATGTCCATGATTATCTTTATCAACTAATTTGTTAGCTCTGCTGTAATACATTTTACCGAATAACTTAAGTGTAATAACATGTGACATCATAATGAATGACGTCCGGGGATTATTTGTGTATGTATTTAAATACCTCCTATAAGCTTACAAAACAATACGAGTCAGTCTTAAGATTGCCTTGCATGATCGATACATTTATCTGCTTTAAATAAATCCCACTCCCAACAAACATTATTTACAGGGACAATCTCTATTCGTTGCCGCATTATCGTTGCCTTAATCTTTACAAAATTATATTTCATTGTGATTTATTAAATATTAAATAAATAATAAATAATGCCATAAAGATACTTAACCCTATGTCAACCTTATTAATGTACACGATTAATCCTATAGTGTCTTTTCTGTGTCGCTTATGCGGGTTCGTAAGAAAGGAAAATGACCGACAATACTGGAGCTAATGTTGTATCGTAATACAAGTATGAACGAATCACAAAATTATTTTTTAATAGGAAAACTATTGATATATATTCTTACACCATGATCAATAGTAACAACAGCCCCGAGAGTTTAGCCTATATATAAAAATATAACAATAATAATAAATGATTTTAAAGTATTTAAAGTACTTTTAAAGTTTCTCATACTTCAACTTGATATGTCAGGAAGGGAGGCATCTTTACCTGAAGGAGGAAAGGAGAACATAGGCGCAATCACAGACATGTATTGTTAAAGAGGTATGAATTATCCATTTCTTACTATTGAACCAAATCCAATAGAAAATAAGAGTAAATGCGAAGGTTACGAATACAGTAATTTTATGCTAATGATAAAAGTAGGTCTAGTTCTCAGCATATTTTCCATCAACCCATACTGCAGTGGTTATAAAGAACTCGAGTCGACGAGTTGGTAGATTAAAATTAATCCAACATGAAGTCAATTTTTCATTAGACAAAGACATTTCAAATTATGTGTATGAAAAAGCGTTCCATACTCAACGCTAAACAGCTTTTACAAATCGTTTTGTGGTATCAATATAAAAAATTACCCTCATAACCCATCCAAGCGCTTTCTTTCCATTACCGAAATAGCCTTGTTCTTCAGTTCTCAAAACATTGTCTTTATTGAACGGTTAATATTCGAAACCTCTTTGATGACACCGCAACAATAGAAACATTATCTATATTATACCTTGTAACTTGATTGTTTATTTGAGTGGTTTTACATTTAGCTCAATACCCTGGCAGGCGGCGGAAATGTCTTCAAATGTTAAAATATTTATCATTTACGTAAGATTATAACCTTGAATCGATTTGGAATTCATTTTTGTTTCATTTCTAATAGACGGAATTAATTTATTTGTTTTCACAAATATAAAAAGTCTGGGAATATTTTCTGACAGCATGCACGCTAAAATGACCTTTTGCCAGATAATCTTGTGGATAGTTATGCACGATTCCGGGCATCATTACCTATACGCTGAAACAACAGGTAAGTTATCATCAACTGTCCTGAAGAATACAGAATATTTTATTACAAACAAACCATCAATTGTACTCGCTCTTGGGAAGTTTTCTTAAAGCTCTTATTGGTACAATGCATGTCATTGTGAAAGATTGCAACGCAAGTGACCTCGGAAGTCTCAGCTATCACTGTCATGAATAAGATTGCACTCACTCTTGGTAAACCTGCTTAAAGCTTTATTCATGTATACATGTGATTTTGATGGATAACAACGCAGAAGACTGGAATAGTCTTAACTATCACCGTTATGTTAAAAATCTAAGATTAATTTATTTCTCATGTAAATTGGAAACTGCATATATTGCCATTCGCAGTTAATAAACTGTTAAGATGTGTATATATAGATTTTCTATTTTATTTCTTCTTTCTATTCAGATATCTAGGTGATACTGTAAACATACATATTTTAGAGCTAATGTTATTTTAGCAGTATTCACACTGTCAGTACTTTGGTTACCTGTGATTACAATTATATTTTCCATGTGTTGTTTATTTAGCTATCGGTATGGGTTCGGAAAACCATCATTGCGCTAAATAAAATAAAATATTAATGCGCATAAAACGCATAGCTCTTAATCAAATACGTTGACAACATTTATTACAAATTGCCAATCTGTAATCTTTGGAATCCTTACGTAAAAATTATCAAGGTGTCGATATTTTGTCTATCCGGTAAGTACACATTAATACCAAACTTATTTCATTTAAGTGTATATCATATTAAATTATTGAAAAATTAGTTATCAAAAATGCAAAAGTAACAGAAAACAACATTATAATTTCTGCACGTTTGATATCTGTCATGTATATCATCTACTTTTAGAATTAGAGAAGCATTTT